ACATCCCTCACACGTTTCGTGGCCCCATAAAGAGCCCCACCGAAGGCCCAAATGGCAGCGTTCGCGCGCGGCCACCGCACCCACTTTGGCACAGCCCTCACACGTGGCCCCATAGGGAGCCCCACCGCAGGCCCAAATGCCAGCGTTCGCATGCGCCCACCGCACCCATTTTGGCACACCCCCTCACACGTTGCGTGGAGCCCCACCGAAGGCCCGAAGGCCAGCGCTCGCATGCGCCCACCGCACCCAGCTTGGCACACCGCTCACACGTTTCCTGGCCCCACAGGGAGCCCCACTCAAGGCCCAAATGCCAGCGTTCGCGCGCAGCCACCGCACGCATTTTGGCACGACCCTCACACGTTTCGTGGCCCCATAGGGAGCCCCACCGAAGGCCCAAATGCTAGCGTTTGCAGACGGCCCCCGCACCCACTTTGGCACACCCCTAACACGTTTCGCGGAGCCCCACCGAGGGCCCAAATGCCAGCGCTCACATGCGGCCACCACACCCATTTTGGCACAGCCCTCACACATTTCGCGGAGCCCCACAAGGAGCCCCACCGAAGGCCCAAATGGCAGCGTTCGCGCGCGGCCACCGCACCCATTTTGGCACACCCCTCACACGCTTCGTGGCCCCATAGGGAGCCCCACCGAATGCCCAAATGCCAAAGCTCGCATGCGGTCACCGCACACAAGTTGGCACAGCCCTCACACGTTTCGTGGCCCCACAGGGCGTCCCACCGAGGGCCCAAATGCCAGCGTTCGCATGCGGCCACCGCACCCATTTTGGCACACCCCTCAGACGTGTCGTGGCCCCACAGGGAGCCCCACCGAAGGCCCGAATCCGCATGCGCCCACCGCGCCCATTTTGGCACACCCCGCACACGTTTCGTGGCCCCATGGGGAGCCCCCCCGAATGCGGTGCATACAACGACGGTGTCCACAACTGCATATGGTTGGGCCCTTCGTCAAGCAAATTTCGATGTTCGGATTCATGGGCCAAGAACGGCCAAGGACGGCCCAAGAAGCCCGAAGGATCGTCCCACGACGGCCCAGGGGCCCCAAGAGGGCCTCAAGACAGCCCAAGAGGGCCCCAAGACGGGCCAGGAGGGCCCCTAAACAGCCCAAGAGGACCCGAAGACGGCCTCAAGAAAGCCACAAGATGGCCTCAAGCCTCAAGAGGCTCCAGAGAGGGCCCGAAGAGGCCCCCAAGAGAGCCCAAAGAAGGCCAAAGGAGGGTGGCCCCGAAATCCTCGTCGACCGTGGTTTATTACCCAGGAATGATAAACCTAGGTTCATTATGTTCAGATGATACTCCCATTGGGTTACTGGCCTGTGGATGGATCGGTGCCCCCCCCTCCCCAGATCATTTCATTCCGGAATAATGCAGCTGGGGTCGATATTCCGACATAGTGATCTAGGGTTGATCCCAATCCAATCTCCTTCTCAAAGCCCCCCTCCGCCAGATCATTCCATCATTCCGGAATAATGAACCTGAGTTAAATATTCCCAGAATATTACGAACACCAGTTTATGATGTTCTAGAGATAACAGGCTAGGGTCCATATTCTAATGTAGTGAACCCCAATTTGGAGACGCGGGGTTGGGGAAAATACACATGAAAATTACGTGACCGAGGAACCCCACATATTCATCATGTGTCTCGCGTGGAGATAGCTGCACCTTCTCTGGTGTCGAGAAAGTGCCACGCTCTCCGCACGCATAGAGACCGCGCTGAGGGACCACCCCCTGCGCACCCTCTCTGGTGTCGGGAAAGTGCCACCCCGGCCACGCTCTCCGACCCTGGCACGCATAGAGACCGCGCTGAGGGACCATCCCCTGCGCACCCTCTCTGGTGTCGGGAAAGTGCCACCCCTGCCACGCTCTCCCTGGCACGCATAGAGACCGCGCTGAGGGACCACCCCCTGCGCACCCCCTCTGGTGCTGAGAAAGTGCCACCCCCGCCACGCTCCCCGACCCTGGCACGCATAGAGACCGCGCTGAAGGACCACCCCCTGCGCAGCCTCTCTGGTGCCGAGAAAGTGCCACCCCTGCCACGCCCCCCGACCCTGACACGCATAGAGACCGCGCTGAGGGACCACCCCCTGCGCACCCTCTCTGGTGTCAAGAAAGTGCCACCCCTGCTACGCTCCCCGACCCTGGCACGCATAGAGACCGCGCTGAGGGACCACCCCCTGCGCACCCTCTCTGGTGTCGAGAAAGTGCCACCCCTGCCACGCTCTCCGACCCTGGCACGCATAGAGACCGCGCTGGGGGACCACCCCCTGTGCACCCTATCTGGTGCCGAGAAAGTGCCACCCATGCTACGCTCTCCGACCCTGGCACGCATAGAGGCCGCGCTGAGGGACCACCCCCTGCGCACCCCCTCTGGTGTCGAGAACGTGCCACCCCTGCCACGCTCTCCGACCCTGGCACGCATAGAGACCGCGCTGAGGGACCACCCCCTGCGCACCCTCTCTGGTGTTGAGAAAGTGCCACCCCTGCCACGCTCCCCGACCCTGGCACGCATAGAGACCGCGCTGAGGGACCACCCCCTGCGCACCCTCTCTGGTGTCGAGAAAGTGCCACCCCTGCCACGCTCTCCGACCCTGGCACGCATAGAGACCGCGCTGAGGGACCACCCCCTGCGCACCCTCTCTGGTGTCGAGAAAGTGCCACCCCTGCCACGCTCTCCGACCCTGGCACGCATAGAGACCGCGCTGAGGGACCACCCCCTGCGCACCCTCTCTGGTGTCGAGAAAGTGCCACCCCTGCCACGCTCTCCGACCCTGGCACGCATAGAGACCGCGCTGAGGGACCACCCCCTGCGCACCCTCTCTGGTGTCGAGAAAGTGCCACCCCTGCCACGCTCTCCGACCCTGGCACGCATAGAGACCGCGCTGAGGGACCACCCCCTGCGCACCCTCTCTGGTGTCCACCCTGCCAGCGACCCTCCGCGCTGAGGGACCACCCCTGCGCACCCTCTCTGGTGTTGAAGAAGTGCCACCCCTGCCACGCTCTCCGACCCTGGCACGCATAGAGACCGCGCTGAGGGACCACCCCCTGCGCACCCTCTCTGGTGCCGAGAAAGTGCCACCCCTGCTACGCTCCCCGACCCTGGCACGCATAGAGACCGCGCTGAGGGACCATCCCCTGAGCACCCTCTCTGGTGCCGAGAAAGTGCCAACCCTGCTACGCTCCCCGACCCTGGCACGCATAGAGACCGCGCTGAGGGACCACCCCCTGCGCACCCTTTCTGGTGTCGAGAAAGTGCCACCCCTGCCACGCTCTCCGACCCTGGCACGCATAGAGACCGCGCTGAGGGACCACCCCCTGCGCACCCTCTCTGGTGCCGAGAAAGTGCCACCCCTGCCACGCTCTCCGACCCTGGCACGCATAGAAACCGCGCTGAGGGACCACCCCCTGCGCACCCTTTCTGGTGTCGAGAAAGTGCCACCCCTGCCACGCTCTCCGACCCTGGCACGCATAGAGACCGCGCTGAGGGACCACCCCCTGCGCACCCTCTCTGGTGTCGAGAAAGTGCCACCTCTGCTACGCTCTGCCGTGCCGTGCCCTGCGCGCCAGCCCTGTGTGCTATGCTGCGCTGTGCTGTGCTGTGCTGCTGTGCGGTGAGCTGTGCTGTGCTGTGCCGTGCTGCGGTGAGCTGTGCTGTGCTGCGGTGAGCTGTGCTGTGCTGCTGTGCTAGGGAAGAAAACCAGAACCCCACGAAGCATGTGGGGAATCATTCCGGAGGCATGAATCCAGATTCAGAATATCCGCCTATGGCTCAGGCGCCGCCCCTCAACCTCCATTCTTATTATTCCAGAATGATGAACTGGGGTTCGTAATTCCCGAGACAGTATTGACCCCAGCCACAATTCCCAGAACATTATAAACCCAGGTTAATATATTTTGGGGGTCGATATGCCCGGAACATTATAAACGAAGGTTTATAATGTTCCGGGGCAAACATTATGAACCCCAATCAAGATGTCCCGGAACATTAAAACCCAGGTTCATAATGTTCCGGGGGGGACAGTATGAACCCTGGTCAAAAATGCTGGAACGATATTAAACACAGGATAGTACCTTTGTGGGGTTCGTTGGGTTCGTCCTGGGCCAAAGGCCTCCAAGACGGCCCAAAAGGGCCGCCGCCTTCGGAGGCTTGCCCCCTCTTACCTCTTACCTCCCCCCTCGGCGCGCCAGCTAGACCGAACGACGACGACGGACCGACCAAGCGAGCAAAGGTTCTAAACAGGACCCCAGACCACAGGGGGGCTTCACTGAAGGCAATGGGGAGCTCTGAGGGACCACGCCGCCTTCTGAGAAGGTATGCCCCCTCTCACCTCCCCACTCCCCATTTCTCCGAGTCGGCGCCAGTCAGCGCTAAAGACTCTGTGGCAACCCATGGAAGCCTCCCATGCCATCTGGTGGCTCTTGCGAACCGACGCTAACCGACGCTCGTCGACGCTAGTCGGCGCTAAAGAGTCTGTGGCAACCCATGGGAGCTTCCCACGCCACCCGCCGGCTCCTGCGAGCCGACGCGAACCGACGCTGGTCGGCGCTGAATCGGCGATGCTCCACGCTAAATCGGCGCTTCCTCGTCGACTACCAGACGCGACGCTAGTCGACGCTATTCGGCGCTGAATCGGCGCTGTTCGACGCTATAAATCGGCGCTTCCTCGTCGTCTACCAGACGCTGGCGCACGCTCCTGCACCCCGAAGACGGAACTGCGAAGACGGACAAGAGGCTCCCATGATCAGGGGCGCGCAAACATGGATTAGCGATCCGTGGATTGGGCGCGCGGTCGCCAAACCCATGGATCGGGGAAAGTGCCCTCCCCAAAATCCAGCCGGTGCCGCCTCCTTCGGCGGCGGAAATCCGCGATTCCCCATGGAAACGGGACCCGTCGCTAATCCACGCCCCCTTTGATCCATGTTTGCGATCGCCTGAATGGGCTGCTACCGAGAGCGGGAGAGGCGAAGCGGCAGTGGGGCGCTGCCAGCGGCGTGAGCCGCGGCGACTCCTGCGGAGACTGCAGCCGCGACCCCTGCGGCGAGGACCTGGCGCGAAGCGGCAGCGCGCGCGCCCTCGAGCGCGCACTGCCCACGAGGCCACCCCAACCCAACCCGACGTCGCCGTTAGGCCTGCAAGATTCCTGTGGGGGGACGTTCTGGGACATCGAGAAACACAAGTGATCGTTTTTTATTCATTGTTTTGCCGATCGGCGCGGGCCCCCAATCCCCCCCTCCCCCCCATGGAGTAGATATTAGCTGTTTCTCGGCGCATGTGTCGAGCGGGCGGAGACTCCCCCAGAGGCCGCACTCTTGCAAACAGTCGCGCTAAGCAGAGGTCTGGAGCCAGATCCCCCCCCTCCTCCCCCCTTGCCGTTCAATGTCTAAACGCCGAATAAAAAAAGCTCACCAACTGGAACCCGTCCAACCCCCAACCCGAAGTTTGAGGGGCATGGGACCTTCGGGTTGAGTTGGGGTGCTTCGGTAAGCGCTGACGAGCGGGCTCGCGCTCGGTGCGACGGCACCTCATCCTTTCGTTCGCTCGCCCAGTCGGCCCGTCGCTCGTTCGCTCGGTCGGTCCGTCGTCGTCGTGAAGTCTCGCCGGCGCGCCGAGGGGGGGCGGAGGCGAGAGGGGGCAGGCCTCCTCAGAAGGCGGCGGGGCTTCTCGGAAGCCCTCAGGCCTTCGGGAAGGCTTAGGATTAGGGCAGGCATGTCCTCCAACAGGCGGATGTTGGGCGATTCTGCTCTAAAGTCAACACATATGCAAAAAAAACCAAAAAGAATCGAAACATGGTCACGTGAGCATTTTTTTGCTATTGTTGAACGTTCCTCCTGAAGAGGGACGTGCCCGACTTCAGCTTAGGAAGCTTCTCGGAAGGGCGCAGGCCTTCTGAGCCCTCCGAGGAGGCCCGCCCCCTCTGCATTCCCCCACGGGCAGGCCGCCGACGGTCGTCGTCGAATGTTCTTGTCCGTCCGTCGTCCGCCGCTTGTCGTCTGCCACCCTCGGGGGCGCGCAAACATGGATTAGCGATCTGTGGATTGGGCGCGCGGTCGCCAAATCCATGGATCGGGGAAGGTGCCCTCCCCAAAATGCGGCCCGTGCCGCCTCCTTCGGCGGCGGAAATCCGCGATTCCCCATGGAAACGGGACCCGTCGCTAATCCACGCCCCCTTTGATCCATGTTTGCGATCGCCTGACACCTGTCGTACGTCGTCCGTCCCCCGTCGTCGGCCACCCGCCGTTCGTCCCCCGTCGTCGTCCACAGCCTGTCCTCCGTCGTATGTCGCCCGCCTCTTCTCGTCTCCTGCTCCTGAAGCCCTGACGGGCTCGTCATTGGTGTCCTACCACCCTCGCGTTTATGCAGAAGCGTGATTCCCACCTTCTCCCTCGTTTCGCGACTGCCCACGGCTACGTCTTGAAGGCTCCCGCCCCTTCTCACACGCGCGGTTATCGCATTGCCCGCCACCTTTCGCAGACTCGTACAGGATATCTCAGGTCCCACTGCTTGTTGAACTCTCGCACACCACTGTTCGCAAATAGAGTGTGCAATATTAGTGTGCATTGGTTTCTGCTGCGACAGACGAAAAATGGTGAAATCGTGTTCCATCACGCCGACTTCCTCAAATCATCATCATCATCATCATAATCATCATCATCGTCATCAGCATCATCATCATCATCATCATCATCATCATCATCATCATCATCATCATCATCATCAGCAGCAGCAGCATCAGCATCAGCATCAGCATCAGCGTCATCAGCACCAGCAGCATCATCACCATCATCAGGGTCATCATCAGCATCAGCATCAGCATCATCATAATCACCATCATCATCATCATCATCATCATCATCATCATCATAATCGGCAGCATCATCATCATCATCATCATCACCATCACAATCAGCATCATCAGCAGCATCTTCATCATCATCAGCTTCAGCATCAACATCAGCATCCTCATCATCATCAGCATCATCATCACCGTCACCGTCATCATCATCATCATCATCATCATCATCATCATCCTCATCCTCATCCTCATCATCATCAGCATCAGCATCAGCATCAGCATCATCATCATCATCATCATCATCATCATCATCATCATCATCATCATCATCATCATCATCATCATTATCATAATAATCATCAGCAGCAGCAGCAGCATCAGCAGCAGATCAGCAGCAGCAGCATCAGCGGCATAATCAGCAGCATTATCATCAACATCTTCATCCTCATCCTCCTCCTCGTCCTCATCCTCACCCTCATCCTCATCGTCCTCCTCTCCCTCCTCCCCGCTTGTTAACCTTCGGGGGGGCCCCCCCGTCGCCGCGGCTGGACACGGCCGTGGGAGCGGGCCCGGACCTGGGAGGGGCCTGGTGACTGGTCTGGAGCGGATGTTGGCCGGCCGCCCAGGAGGCGGCCGCCCGCAGATCACCGACGTCGTGACTTCTGTCGCAGCGTGGACATCAAGAGTCGGGAGCGTCCAAAGGGGGGGGGATAGCAAACCATGGCCGGGGGCATGTACGCGGACGAGGGGGAGGGACCAGGGGACGTGCTGAAAGAAGACGAGGGGGCCATGAAATCCGGGGCGATATCATAGCCCCAGCCATGATATCCACACACACACAGACACCTGGTTACCACAACCCTCTTCGACGCCCCCGACAAGGAGGTTTAGACTCTCCCTGGGACGTGTTCTTCGTCCCGAATTATGTTATCAAAGTCCTGGGGCCTGGCGAGGGTTCCCGGAGGCCGAACACTGCCACATTCCTTCCGCCGCAGTTCTTGAAGACGAGAAGAGGTGGGGAGCCCACACATGTGCTGGGGGGGCCGGATCCCTGCGGAGAAGCACGGGTGCAGGGCCGACAGCGATGCGGGAGTCGACGCAGAAAAAACTCCATTAACATAAACTTTTGGCGCTCCGCGCGGATTTCTTGGATCTGCGCTGGACCCCCCCCCCTGGCGCGCGGAGCAGGGGCGGCGCTGGAGGCGCCGCCGGGGGGGCCCAGCGCGGATTCAAGAGATCCTCGCGGAGCGCCGGAAGCTTATGTTTATGGCCTTTTTGCTTCTTCGAGGGAGGCCCGTCTACCAAGCGCAAGCGCGCGAGGTGGGCAGGACACAAATCGGGCGCGCGCCAAGATGGATTACAGACCCGCGGGTCGTCCGGAGCGTGGGCTCCAGATCGATCCACGGTTCGGGGAAGGGCCCCCCCGAAACGTGAGGCCAGGGCCGCTGGATTTGGCGACGGAACGCGCCGATTCTCCACGGAGACAGGACCGACCCGAAGCGGATCCACACGCCACAGTACAGAGGAGGAGGACGACGACAGCTACGACTTTGCATACCGCATGCAGAAGACAGCCGTCGGTACCAGCATGGAAGGCGCAGTCCACCCCTGTCGCGCAGGAAGAAGAGCTCGTGTTCCTCGTCCTCCTCCTCCTCCTCCTCCTCCGCCTCAATCGCATCCTGCTCCTCCTCCTCCTCCTCCTCCTCCTCCTCCTCCTCCTCCTCCTTCCTCCTTTCTTTTCCCTCCCCCCCTCCGTTCCCCCCCTCCCTCCCGAACTCCCCCCCGGAATAGGCAGCCACACGTGGGCCCTGCCCCCACTGGTCAGACTTCTGGATCGCCCCGACAAGGAGTCAGAGCTCGACGCCATCGTCTGCTGCCAGGAGGGCCCCGCAGCCAGGGATCGCACGCGGTCGCAATGGAAAACCGCGCACCAAAAGTCGCTTCGGGCGAAGAGTCAGCCGCACTTGCAGCCGAGCACCCGCCGGAGACAGCCGTCGGCCGCAGCCGTAACCGAGACGGGCCACCACGATCCGAACTGCGCTCGAAGAGGGGGGGCCCTCATCGAGAGCCGCCGTGGCTACAGGAACCCGAGGTCCGACCTGCCAGCTGACAAGCATCATGCGGTATACTGCAGGCAGAGAGGGGACGAGGTGAACGTGAGAAAGGTGTAGCGCAGCAGCGCCACCCGCGCCAGCTTTCCCTCCCCTCCTTCCCTCCCTCCCTCCCTCCCCCCCCTCCCTCCCTCCTCTCTCCCCCCCTCCCCCCCTCCAATTCCCCTCCCTCCCTGTCCCCGCCCTCTCCCTCCCCTCCTCTCCCACCTGCTCTCTTACCCTCCCCTGCGCCCGCCGTGGCCCCGCCCCCCCCATGCTCTGTCCCAGCCCCGCGGGGGGGGGGAGGGCAGCGGACATCGCCGAGGTCCTCGCTGCGGGCGTCGGCTGTGGCCCCAGCGGGGGCTGCAGCAGCTCCTGAGCGGGGAGCGGCCACGGGGAGGGCGCTTCCACGTTCCCCCCCTCCTCTCTCCTCCCGTCTCCTCCTCCTCCTCCCCCTTTCCCGCTGGGTCCTCCCTCCTCCTCCTCTCCTCCTCCTCCTCCCTCTCTCCTCCCTCTTCCTTCCTCCCTCCTCCCTCTCCTCCTCCTCCTCCTCCTCCTCCTCCTCCTCCTCCTCCTCCTCCTCCTCCTCCTCCCCCTCGTCCTCCTCCTTCTCCTCCTCCTCCTCCTTTTCCTCCTCCTCCATTCCTTTTCCTTATACATAACTTCTCCCTGTCGCACCCCGAGGCCAGTTTTCAGGGCGGTCCGGGAGTTTCGTCTGAGACTTCCTCACCATTTATGACCCTCACACATGCAGGGCGTGTGGTTGTCAACCTGTGGCTCTCGCCTTAGCGCAGCGCAATTCGTCTTCAAATATTGCAATAGCTTCACGGATTGAGGGTGGGTGGTTTTCAACATGTGGCTCTCGCCTTAGCGCCGCGCTCATCTTTCATAATTGAGGGCGGTTCCTTTTCAAAATGTGGCTATTGCCTTAGCGCCGCGTTCGCTCGTTCATGGAATGTGAAAGAGTGTCACGGGTTCCAATTGTCAGCGTACCAGAAATTGTGTATTGGAAGGATTCAGAATTATGCGGGTGCAACAGTTGTATTGTTTCGCGGTGTTGAAGTCCAGAAATGGCGTTCTGGTACAGGTCCAGATCGTCAAGACGAAGCAGTCAGGTTGATCCGGTGCGCTGAAATCCAGAAAACAATGTTTGGGCATGCTTCAGGGTCTTCAAGGATGTCTTCCAACGAGGCAGTTGCCTCAGTGGAAATAAACAGTTGTAGGGGCGTATGAAGAGGGAACTTCGAGGGAGGGTTACTTCCGACATCGTTGGTGACTCTTCGGTTTACACTGGTCCTCCTCCTCCTCCTGATCCTCCTCCTGATCCTCCACCTCCTCCTCCTCGTCCTCCTCCTCCTCCCATTCCTCCCCCTTTTCACGTTTGGCGAACGTTAAACAACTACGCTGTAGCGTTCTGGTGGAACGCAAGAACCACAAAACCGCCCGAGTGCACACTAAGCGGCGCACGAGTGGCGAAGGGAAGCGGAAACGTGGAGAGCCCGCGAGGGCATAGAACATTATATATGCAGGGGTCGGCACGGTGGCTCCCCCCCAAGTGCAACAGTACCTGTCCTCTCCTCGAGGTCCCATCCCAATCTTGACAGTGCTGGCGCCTGCGGTGGCACGCTACAGTGCAAGGCCCATGATGCAATACTCGACGTTCATCGAGGATGGCAAGGCCAATGGAACGACGCCCTGGCAGCCGTCAAGAATGGGCCGATGTAAAGAGGCCCGTGACGACTGTTGCCCCCGCCTGGTGCCAGGTCAAATTCAACATCAAAACGCCTCCACTTATATCAACGACCCCGTCCACTACTCCAGCCAACGCCGCTCCTCCTCGACGTTGGCCTTGATTTGGGCCTGGAGCTCATGCGAGGCAGAGGCAGGCAGTACCGTGTGCCAAGACTGCATCCATTGCGTAAGAGTACAGCGCTGTGCATGCTGAAAGCTGGCTCAGTCTGCGCTGGTTGGCCTGGGTAGATTTCTCTGCAAATGCGGCCGTGTGATCGACGACCTCATGGATATCATGTCCCCCACACAATCACTCACCTACACCCACACCTCCTCCATACTGCCCTCACCGAGGGTCCTGGACAATTTAAACTCACGTTTCAAGCAGCCGCTGTGAGACTCTGGCGCCGACGCGTTCCGTGCTGTAGCGCCTGTGGTCGGCACTCTGAGTAAACCCTCCCGCCGAAATCCCGCCCAACCTCCCCCCCCCAACACACCCCCTCCCAAGACGGGTGCAGTACAAAAATTGCGCGCCTATTCCGCAGTTCGGCGCGGGGGGGGGGATGGCAAATCCCCGAAAGCGATCGACGTGCAATGCAAGTGCTGCGTGCCTCACCCCGGCTTGGTTGGGCGGCTTCACTCGTTCTTTCCACCTCCCACATGCAACCGCCCCCGCAGCCTCGACCGCCAACGAAACTCACGTTTGAAGCTGCCAGGGCGAGGTTCTGAGGCCGACGCGCTCCGTACCGGAGCGCTGGCGGTCGGCGCGCTCAGCGAGCCTACCACCAAAATCCCCCCCCCCAAACTACCCACCTCCACCCACCCACACAATATGATAGGGCCCTCACCGAGGGTAAGATCCAGCGCCTACGATACGATGCTCAGCTGACACGGCGCTGGGGTCGCGTAGAGTGTAACGCTGGCGGCTGACCCGCAGGTGCTAACGACACTCCTCCCCCACCAGAACAGTCACCGCCATCCCTCCTAGCCTCCACCACCGCCCAAAACGGGTGCATTCAAAACGGCGAGGGCGGGAAGTGGCTGATCCGCGAAACCGATCGACGTACAATGCAAATGCTGTATGCCTCAGCCCGACTTGCCTTGCGGCTTCTCTCGTTCTCTCCACCTTCTACGCATGCAACCTTCAGCAAGGCATTGAATGGTATAGGCTTTCCAATTCGTCCGCCGTACCCTGAAAAAGGAAATCTTCAACAACGCCTTCCTCAATTTCATGGCCCCAACTTCCTTTGAACACCTCGAAAGTGGCAAAGCCGTTTGGATAGTCGTAAGCCTGAGCCTGATGAAAAGAACATATCCGCCGCTCGTTTTAAGTGAAGCGCATGTGATCGATGTCCTCACTACTAGCCTGGTGAAGCTTGCCGTTGACTTGAACTGCCCAACGCCCCGCGTAAGGATCCCATCGCGTCAATCAACCTTCCAGGCCGTTCGCACGAAAATTCGTTGTCCAACCGAGCAGTGAACACTTTATGGGCATGATGGGAAGACTTCAATCAGGTTCGATTGGCTCGTCGACGGAGATGTTGTCACACTGCTGTGCTGCAGTGGTTCGACTGCACCAGGCTCGCTTTGAATCGGCTGCGAGGTGTGATCCATGGGAGCAGCTGTTAATGTCGAGCTCCGCGCTTGGGAAATATAAAAGCGAGCCAACGTCTGTGCCATTGCCGTCTGAGACTCTACCTCTTCCTATGCCCATGTCATGTTGACGCATTGCAACTTCCGTCCCAACATTCATTGCATCTTCACTGTCAATATCGTGTGGTTGCCCGTCAAATCCTCGATCTGCACTTGCGTGGAAGTCCCTGCCCGCCAAATCCTCTGAATCGACGATGGTTATGTCACTGCCTATGCG